TCTCGGCTCACTGCAACCTCCGCCTTCTGGGTTCAAGCAATCTGCTGCTTCAGCCTCCTGAGTAGCTGGGATTACAGGCACCCGCCACTGTGCCTGGCTAATTTTTGTATTTTTAGTAGAGACGGGGTTTTACCATGTTGGCCAGGCTGGTCTCGAGCACCTGACCTCAAGTGATCTGCCCGTCTTGGTCTCCCAAATTCCTGGAATTATAGCCCTGAGCCAATGCACCCGGCCTGAATTTGTATTTTGTATGCAGTCATACTATATATATATAATTTGCTTTGCTTTTTGTACTTGAGTTATTGGTGTCCATGTTTTTCCATATTGTTATGAAATATAATCCTTTAAAGTACTTACTGCAATTACAATACTTCTAAGTCGAATTCCAAAATGACCATAAGTAGAGGCGAATCTAGGTTTTGGGGAACTCTCATTAAGAAAAAAAAATGTAGCTGGGCATGCTGGCTCACGCCTGTAATCCCAGCACTTTGGGAGGCCGAGTGGGCGGATCACGAGGTCAAGAGATGGAGACTATCCTGGCCAACATGGTGAAATCTCGTCTCTACTAAAAATACAAAAATTAGCTGGGTGTGGTGGCAGGCACCTGTAGTCCCAGCTACTTGGAAGCCTGAGGCAGGAGAATCACTTGAACCCAGGAGGCAAAGGTTGTAGTGAGCTGAGATCGTGCCACTGCACTCCAGCCTGGCGATAGAGTGAGACTCCGTCTCAAAAAAAAAAACAAAAACAAGAAAAAGAAAAAAGAAAAATGCAAAAATTTCTAATGACTTCTGGATTCTGGTCAACAGAAATTGAAGAAAAAAAATTGACTTGTGAGATCTTTGGGGAAAAATAAGAAAAAAATACAAAAATAGATTACTTTTAAAATTTTCACAAGGCCAGGTGCAGTGGCTCATGACTATAATCCCAGCTACTTGGGAGGCTGAGGCAGAAAATCACTGGAACCTCAGAGACAGAGATTGCAATGAGCCGAGATTGCAACACTGGACTCCAGGCTGAGCGAGAGAACGCGACTGTGTCTCAAAACCAAAACAAAATAAAAAACCAAAAAACAAAACAAAACAAAAAAACCCCAAAATCATCCAGGTATGGTGGCATGTGCCTGTAGTCCCAGCTTGGGAGGCTGAAGTGAGAGGATCACCTGAGCTAGGAAGTTCAAGGCTGCAGCGAGCCGTGATGGCATCACTGTACTCCAGCTTGGACAACACAGTGAGACCCATCTCAAAAAAGAAAAAGAAAGTATATGAAAAGTAACAACTACTAAAGAACATTTGGAAAACAGAGAAAATTTTTTTAAAAAAAAGCCCCTATAATTTCATCAGACTTATGCTATATTCCCTTCTTGTGTTTTTTTCGTCAATGCAGATTCCATTTTATAAAAACATGCTTGAAATAAGTAGAACCAGTTATTTTCTTTTCGCAAAAGTTTAGTATTAGGGCATTATTACTATTATTATTATTATTTTGAGATGGAGTCTTGCTCTGGCTCCAGGCTGGAGTGCAGTGGCACAATCTCGGCTCACTGCAACCTCTGATGACTCCCTGGTTCAAGCGATTCTCCTGCCTCAGCCCCCCGAGTAGCTGGGATTACAGGCATGTGCTACCGTGCCCAGCTAATTTTTGTATTTGTGGTAGAGACGGGGTTTCACCATGTTGGCCAGGATGGTCTCGATCTCCTGACCTCATGATCCGCCCACCTCGGCCTCCCAAAGTGCTGGGATTACAGGAGTGCGCCACCACATCCAGCCTAGGGCATTATTATAATGGAATATTTAACATTCATGGCAAATCCCAAACATATTTTGTATACAACAACTTCAGAAAAATCAAGAAGAAAAAAGGTCTATGTTTTACTGTTGTATTTCCATCCTTATTTTTAAAATTCATGTTCTTCAAGATTATGATTCTAATGTATACAAGAATGTAATATTCTGCATTTTTTCTTACATTATATCATAAACCTTTCTCCATACTACTGCATACTACTAAGGCAACATTCATAGTAACTAGAGTATCTGAGAATAAGATTTAGTTTCTTAAACTCAGTCAGTACAACTGTAAGTGAAAAGCTAAGGCAGGCAAAAGTGTGATAAATCAGAGATACAGAATGAGTGCTTTTGGTTTGCCTGCGAGTATAATGTAGAAAACCTAGACAGGGAAATCGGAACTCAGAAATTCAAGTCTTCCAACTAAATGTCTAAGTCAACAAAAAATTCCAACATAATCCTACATTTTATATATACTTTTCTTTCTTCTTTTCTTTTCCTTTTTTTTTTTTTTTTTTTTTGAGAAAGGGTCTCGCTCTGTTGCCCAGGCTGGAGTACAGTGGCACAATCACAGCTCACTGCAGCCTCCACCTTGAGGGCTCAAGTGATCCTCCCATCTCAGCCTCCCAACTATAGGCACACATCACCATGCCAGGCTAATTTTTAAAAATTTTTGTAGAGAGTCTCTGTATGTTGCCCAGGCTGGTCTTGAACTGCTGGGGTCAACTGATCTGCCTTGGTCTCCCAAAGCGTTGGGATTACAGGTGTGAGCCACCACACCTGACCTGTTTTTTCTTTTTTTTTTTTTTTTTTTTTTTTGAGACGGAGTCTTGCTCTGTGCCCCTGGCTGGAGTGCAGTGGCGCTATCTCGGCTCACTGCAAGCTCCGCCCCCCGGGTTCACGCTATTCTCCTGCCTCAGCCTCCCGAGTAGCCGGGACTACAGGCGCCGCCACCTCGCCAGGCTGGTTTTTCGTATTTTTTTAGTAGAGACGGGGTTTCACGGTGTTAGCCAGGATGGTCTCGATCTCCTGACCTTGTGATCCGCCCGCCTCGGCCTCCCAAAGTGCTGGGATTACAGGCTTGAGCCACCGCGCCCGGCCTGTTTTTTCTTTAATAATTGGGAATGTGATAGAATATTATTCAATGGCAAAGACTTATTTATTGTGACATGATATTATTATTAGAGTTTTCATTCTCAAAATTGGGTAAATGTACCCCCAAAGAGGTTTTTCTTTAAAATTTAGCAAGGCTGGCTGGGCCCAGTGGCTCATGTCTGTAATCCCAGCACTTTGGGAGGCTGAGATGGGCAGATCACCTGACGTCAGGGGTTTGAGACCAGCCTGGCCCCAACATGGAGAAACCCCATCTCTACTAAAAATACAAAATTAGCCTGGCACGGTGGCGCGTGCCTGTGATCCCAGGTACTCGGGAGGCTGAGGCAGGAGAATCACTTGAACTCGGGAGGCGGAGGTTGCGATGAGCCGAGATCACGTCATTACACTCCAGCCTGGGCAACAAGGGCAAAACTCCGTCTCAAAATGAAATAAAATAAAATACAATTTTAGCAAGGCAATACAAATCTTCACTATACAGAACATGCCAAAATTTGGTCATGGTTTTCAGGACTCAATGACATTTGTTGTTGGAAACCAGCTGTTATGTTTTAAATAAGCCTTTGCATTGACATTCATTAATTTCATAGCATAAACTTTTTGCTTTTAAGCTTCTTGTTCCTTTAATGTTGTCCTGTTGTAGGAATTCAAGCCACATTTAAAAAATTCAAAAATTTAACATACATTGAGGAAACAGTCCATATGTCCGCTGCTGAGTGAATAAACAAAATGTGGTATATACATATAATGGAATATTAGCCTTAAAAAAGAGGGAAATTCTGATATATGCTACTCTCAAGACATTACGCAAAAACGCTAGTCACAAAAAGACAAATACGGTACAATCCCACTTAAATGAGGTACCTAGAATAGTCAAGTTAGTAGAGACAGAAAACAGAACAGTGGTTATCAAGGGATAGAAGGAGGAGGGAAAGGACAGTTATTTTTATTGGGTATGAAGTTTCAGTTTGGAATGATGAAAAAGTTCTGGAGATGGATGATGGTCATGGTTCTACAACAATATTAATGTACCTAATGCTCTTGAACTGTACACTTAATATTAAGATGGTAAGTTTTATATTATGAACATTTTACAATTAAAAAAATCCCCCAATCTATAACATACATTGGGAAAAGTACATTTTACCTGTATATTGTTTAACAAATAATCACCACCAAATATATGTATAATCACCACCTAGCTCCCAAAATGAAATATTATCTGTAACCTGTGTCCCTCCCCATCACAACCCTCTTTTCCTGAGTAAGCACTATCATGGCTCTAACATTTGCTTTTGAAAATCGTACTGTGATGTGGTAATGCAGGATAAGTTAAATCTACACTACAACACGCTACAGAATATTTCTTTAAATTTCATTTTTTCCATAAGTGCAAAAAAAATCCCACTTAATAACTTTTAAATGCTCTTTCTCCCCTTCCTTTGCTCTTGAAACTTCATATTCTAAAACCTATTTTGGTGCCATAGTTGACCTCACCTGCAGTTTAATTAAAAAAAAAAAAAAAAAAAAACCACAACCTTCAGTGTAGATTTTCATTCCTCCCGCTCTCCCTTGCCTCCAACTACAAAGAAACAATGATTTAAACCCTTTGTGCCCTTTTAGAAAATTACACAGATACCCCATTGTGGAACCCTATAATCCCTTCGTGGAAAGGAAGAGATTAGCATATGAATACAAAGCAAAATGAATCCAGAATACAAAATGATCTACTGGATTGTGAAGCTCTTGTATTCTTAAAAATGTATTTATTTCCTCTTTTTGTATTGCCCCTTTAGTGGTCTTAGGGTTAAGGGAATTGAGCTTCCCTTTCTGGTTACCCGGAAAAGGATTAAAAACAAAAAACAAAAAAAACAAAAAAACCACCAGATTCTAATAGGTGCAGAACCAACAGATGGCTCCCAGCGCCAGTGGAATCGCCAGTGGAATCTGCTACCCTCGACATGAGCTTGCTTGCCGGCGAGGAGTGTAGAAAGTGCTGTTCGCAGACTGCGTGGTGAAGGAGAGAAAGCGACAGAAGAGAGAGCCATAGTGCTGACGTTGAAGGCCCGGCCCTGTGAGGTTGCACAGGGTAAGTGGCGTTGGCCAGGCGGCAGCGGCGAAGGGGAAGGAAAGAGGATTTGAGCTGGGGGCGGGGCTTGCGGTACAGCGTGGCTCCTGATTGTTGGAGCGCGGCTGCCAATCTCGCAGAATCGCTCGGTTAACCAGTGCGCTGGCGAGACGCGCTCAGATATACTGAGTGAGCCCTGAGAAGCAGTCTCAGATCCTGACGGTGCAGCAGCCCGCAGCCTCAGCCAGGGAGTCCCAGCCGCTTTCAATGGAGGAGAAGCCCGGCCAGCCACAGCCTCAGCACCATCACAGCCACCACCATCCGCACCATCACCCTCAGCAGCAGCAGCAGCAGCCGCACCACCACCACCATTATTATTTCTACAACCACAGCCACAACCACCACCACCACCATCATCACCAGCAGCCTCACCAATACCTGCAGCATGGAGCCGAGGGCAGCCCCAAGGCCCAGCCAAAGCCGCTGAAACATGAGCAGAAACACACCCTCCAGCAGCACCAGGAAACGCCGAAGAAGAAAACAGGTCTGGGAGGGAGGACGGGTGGGGGAAGGGGGTTGGGGGTGGAGGACAGGGGAGATGGGGGTGGGGCTGGATCCGAAAAGCGCGGACGGGGTCGGGATGTGTGTGTGTGTGTGCCCTCCGGCTCTGGGGATGCCCCTTTCATTCTAGGGCTCGGGCTGAGCAATGGGGTTTGCAGCGCCCTCCTTCCCTCCAGCATGGGAGAGGCCCAGCCAGGCCAGCGTGACCTTCCCGGCCCCCGCCCCGGCTGAAGGGAGACCCACTGGGTCGGCCTTGCAAGTCCAACCTCATTATTCTTTTCCCGTTCACCTCTCTGCGTCCCTGGAGTTACCTCAATATGGGGGCCCTGAAATGGGGTAAACCTACCCCCAAAAAAATCCCTCGAGGTGTAACTCAGGAAGGCCTAGCGAATCCCGCCTCGGATGGTGTCGCGAGACCCTTTTGCAGGCGGCCAGGGGTGGGTAGGTAGGCCGAGTTGAGGAAGTGTCCCTCACCCGCCACCCCAAGCCCACCTGTGGCCTTGGGGCTCCCCATCTTGTTGGGGGGGGCTGTTGGGACCCCTCATCTCACGGGTCGTTTCCACCACTAAACGCCCTTTTTGGGCGCCGGACCCCGCAGTCTTGCCCCGCGGCTCCTCCCGAGGCTGGTGCCCCGGGCCCGCTCCCCCCAGAGCCGGCGCGGCTGGAATGTTCTCTCCTCCTCGCGGGGCCGCTTCCTGTCCGCCATGTTGGAAGCCGATTCCTGTCACCGACTCCGGCCCACTGAGGAGCGGGGGGGAAGGGTGTCGAGGGCCACACGGCGCGTCGGAGCTGAGTGACCTGGGATCACCACCGGCCGCCGCCTCGCCCCCTGCACTGCGGGGGCGCCGCCGCCCCCCGCTCCGCGGCCGCCCCTCCCCCGTCACCGGCCGGGGTTGTGTAACCCGGTGGCGGCGCGAGGCCCCGGGCGGGTCCCTGGGGTGAGGGGCGGGGGCGGTTGGGGTGGGGGAGGGAAGCGGCCACGAGGGGAGCGGCCTGCGCAGGGCCCCGCGCGCCAGCGGCCGCGTTTCCCGCTCCCGGGTGCGGCGGGAGGCGCGGGCAGTCGGGGCGGGGAGCCGGCCTCGAAGCGGAGCTGAGGGGGAAGGAGGCCGCGGGCGGCGGCGGCGGCCGCGGCGCTTCTAGGGGCAGGAGGCCTGGGGGGGCGGCGGGGGGATTCATTTTGGGTAGAGGCGGTGCCTGAGGCCGGGTGGGGTACCCAGCGGGAACCCAGCTCCCCGGTCACGAGTTTCTCTGCCACAGGAACCTCGTCTCCTGCCAGGTTCGCTCACGACTCCGCCTCTGAGGCTTTCACTTGGGCCTTTTCCTTCTAGCAGCTCATTTTCTACCAAAAAAAAAAAAAAAAAATTAACAAAAACCTTGTTCCATTCCCCTCCCCACCCGGCACTTACCTTCTGAGCTTGGGTAGTGTCTTTGAGGTGAGGGATTTTTTAAAATGTTAGGATGAGGAAGAGGGCGAGCTTTTTGACCCCCTTTCTTGTCCTTAAGGGTGAACCCAAGTGGCTCATCCATGAGGTTAGATTACTACCATCTTGCCTCGGATGAGGCTTCTTTCCATGTTAAAAAGAAAGGTGTTTTTTCGTATTTTAAAGTCGGTATTGATCCCCAAACTAATATTAACAAACGAGAAATTGAGGGTAAAAGTCATGTAAGAAAGTATTTCACGAGAAGTTTAAAAGTTTATAACCCTCGCAGATTTTGAAAAATAAGGGCTCTATATAAATCGAAGGGAAAGGAAGCATAAAGCGTATGTTAAACCCAGCGTATCAAATTTGATAGAAGGAATTGTTGAGAGCTGGAGAAAAACTAAGTGCTTTTTTAATTGCAGATTGTAACTTGAAGACTGAAATTAGAATGTCAGATTCTCCATTTTTCGTTAGGGACCCGATGGTATGCAACGGAAGTGAACACGTAACACACGAGTTAGGTGTTTAATCCTAAAGATTTGGAGCAGTTTAAAAACTGTTAGGGACTACATAACTACATTTTTTTAGCATTAGATCTTGTTCAAAAGATGAGAAAATACTACCGTATTATGGCTGCATAAGGCAATATTACTGTTGAGACTGAAAAATTGTATTTCATCGGTCAGGTAAATATACTCTTGCAAGACTTCTCTCTACATGTAGAAGCAGCCCCTAAACCATTCAAGGTGGTATTCCTCCAAATATTTCTTATCTCGGAAGACGTGGATAAAGAGGAGGAAACTGGAATTAGGAGTTTTGACAGAGTATAAACAATTTGGGGCGAGTGTATGGTTTGGTCACAGTACTGTTGCTTTGACATGCATTATGCTAATAACTAAGGAAACATTACAATATTTTTTAATTTATCTGTGACATGTTGAGGTAGGCTTTTGTAACCCCTTACTCACAAACCTAAAGAGGAACAGTTTTTTTTGTTTATCCAGAAGAGGGCGCAAGAGAAGGCCAAATGTGTTGAGTAATTTGTTTCTAATTGAAAAGCTAGATTTATCAGGACTCAAGTTTTGCTGAGTCTTTTGGAAGTAGGATTAGTATGTATAAGCAGCCCTAAATAATAAAAGCGCTAGGAGTCCTTTAATTTCTTAAATTTATTCTATAATGTTTACATTTTTCTTAAATAAGATATAAAAAAAATTTCTGGCATACTTTATACATCTCAACAAGGTTGTCATGAGGAAAGTTTTATGTAGTTAAACGAGGTTTTCTTTTTTTTGTTATTAAAACTTACAGGTGGGAGCACAGTGGCTTCTAAGCCGTTTTTTCATTGTTTGGTGAATTCTAATAGCTGAGTCACTACAAACTAGAATCTTAGGAAGAATTATTCTAGTTAGTTTTGGTTCAGCTCAGTTTGGAGATTGGATTTTTTGCTATTTCAAGTTGCTCACCTTTAATTGAAATCTGAAAAGTTGTGACTAATGGGCCCAAGGATACAAACCTTTGTTTAACCTGTTGGTATGTTAAATGATATAGGTAGTCCTGTATTCCCTCCAGAGTTAGGTAATGTATGTTACATTTTTGAATTTTTTTAATGTGGCTTGAATTCCTGCAACAGGACAACATTAAAGGAACAAGAAGCTTAAAAGCAAAAAGTTATGCTATGAAATTAATGAATGTCAATGCAAAAGCTTATTTAAAACATAACAGCTGATTTCTAACTGTTTCCAAGTTATATCTATCTATTAAAAATGATGACAGCCTTTATTTAGGGGACTTTCTGCTTTTGTTTCCTTTCTTTTTTTTTTTTTTTTTTTTTCCGAGGCGGAGTCTCACTCTGTGGCCTAGGCCGGAGTGCTGTGGCATGATCTCAGCTCACTGCAACCTCTGCCTCCCTGATTCAAGCGACTCTCCTGCCTCAGCCCCCTGAGTAGCCGAGATTACAGGAGTATGCTACCATGCCCAGCTAATTTTTTTTTTTTTTTTTGATTTTTAGTAGAGATGGGACTTGACCATATTGGCCAGACTGTTCTCAAATTCCTGACCTCAAGTGATTCACCTGCCTGGGATCCCAAAGTGCTGGGATTATTGATGTGAGCCACTGCTCCTGGTGTTTTTCTGAGGAAAAAATAAACTTTTAGAAAACATCCTAAGCAATAATCTCTTCTTTCCTGTTTCATAGTTAAAATTGTGCCACCAAAAATTTGATTTGATTGGCTATCATAGCTTTTCCAGCAGCCAAAAAATGTTAAAAAATGTAACCCTGTGGAATCTAAGAACTCTTTAAGAGTTCTAAGAAATCTTAAGAGGTTGGTGTGGCTCTCACCTGTAATCCCAGCACATTGGGAGGCCAAGGTGGGTGGATCACTTGAGGTCAAGGGTTTGAAACCAGCCAGGCCAACGTGGCGAAACCGGGCATTGTGGTGCATGCCTGTAATCCCATCTACTTGGGAGGCTGAGTCAGGAGAATCTCTTGAACCTGGGAGGTGGAGGTTGTAGTGAGCCGGGATCACACCATTGCACTCCAGCCTGGGCCACAGAGTGAGACTCTGTCTCAAAAGAAAAAAGGAAAAAAATAACTCTTATAAGATGTATTATCTCGTGGTACAAGTTTTGTGCCAGTCTGTTTTAGGAATGATTATGCCTTGAGTATATTTTCTTGGGTTACTTTAATACAGTAGAAGAAAATGCGTTTATTTGTTCAGTTTTAGTATTTGTACCTTTTTTTCTTTTTTTTTTTTTTTCTTTTTTTGAGACGGAGTCTCACTCTGTCGCTCAGGCTGGAGTGCAGTGGCGCGATCTTGGCTCATTGCAAGCTCCGCCTCCCAGGTTCACGCCATTCTCCTGCCTCAACCTCCCGAGTAGCTGGGACTACAGGCGCCTGCCACCACGCCTGGCTAATTTTTTTTGCATTTTTAGTAGAGACGGGGTTTTACCATGTTAGCCAGGATGGTCTCGATCTCCTGACCTCATGATCCTCCCGCCTCAGGCTCCCAAAGGAGGCTGAGCCACTGCACCCGGCCATTGTACCTTTTTTTCTAATGTAGAATGAGTAAGTCTTGTTGTGAATCTAATAGACTTATACATTAAGTTATTTTGGAACAATGATTCTCAGACTTATAAAAATAGTATTCCTATTAGAGTCCTCATTTCTGCTGCCTTAAATATGTAGAGTGTCCTATTGTGTTTTTTTGTTTTTTGTTTTTTGTTTTTGAAACAGAGTTTTGCTCTTGTTGCCCAGGCTGGAGTGCAATGGCCCAATCTGGGCTCACTGCAACCTCCGCCTCCCGAATTCAAGCTATTCTCCTGCCTCAGCCTCCCAAGTAGCTGGGATTATAGGCGTACACCACCATGCCTGGCTAATTTTGTATTTTTAGTAGAGACAGGGTTTCACCATGTTGGTCAGGCTGGTCTCGAACTCCTGACCTCAAATGATGCACCCACTTTGGCCTCCCAAAGTGCTGGGATTATAGGCATTAGCCACTGCACCTAGCCTGTATATCTGTTTCTAATGAGTTGACCTCAGGATGCTTTTGTGAACATTTCATAAAAAGGTAGATAACTAATAGCACCATTTTGTTACAGTGAAAAACTATTTGCATTAGCTGTAATAGAATTGACTTTTTATGGTGGTTGAAGGTTTTTTTTTCTTGAGAGAGGGTCTCACTTTGTCACCCAGGCTAGAAGGCAGTGGTGCCATCTCAGTACATGCTCACTGCAGCCTCGACCTCCGAGGTTCAAGCTATCCTCCTCCCTTAGCAGCCCCAGCTGGGAGTATAGGCACATGCCCCACGCCCAGCTAATTTTTGTGTTTTTAGTAGAGATAGGGTTTCTCCATGTTGCCCAGGCTGGTCTTGAACTCCTGAACTCAAGCAGTCTGCCTGCCTTGGCCTCCCAAAGTGCTAGGATTACAGACATGAGCCACTGGCAGTTGACGGTTTTTAATTAAACCTGAATACCATAACACTAAAAAATTAGATCCTTTTTATTGTAGTTATGTTAAATATTTTCTCATCGCATCTTTTGAGTCAAGGCAGTATTGCATAGTGGTAGGAAACCATGGATTGCAGATAGACTGGAGGTCAGATTTCCAGTGACAGAACTGGAATTCTGTCAATTGTCAGGATTGACAATTTACTTCATCTCTCAAAGTCTGTTTATCTAAATGTAAAATGAAGAAAATATGTTTTATAAAGGTTAGAAACATTGATGCATAGATATTTTAATTTCACGTGTTAACAGTGTGATCCAATATCTGGGAAATGTCAAAATGAAATTTAAGAATACTTTAGAAAAAGTTCATACGTTTTAGATAGTTGTCTGATAGATGCATTGGAAACTGCTGATAGTGACTACTAGCTATTTATGGTTTTGTAGAAATGAAGTCTTTAATTTCCTTGTAATAATTACTGTTTCAATAAAACTTGATTTTTGCCCAGAGGGTATCTCTGCTCTGAATTGTCAAGAAAATTTTAGGCCGGGTGCATGACTCATGCCTGTAATCCTAGCACTTTGGGAGGCTGAGGCTGGCGAATTACGAGGTCAGGAGATCAAGACCATCCTGGCTAACACGGTGAAACCCCATCTCTACTAAAAATCCAAAAAACATTAGCCCGGCGTGGTGGCGGGCGCCTGTAGTCCCAGCTACTCTGGAGGCTGAGGCAGGAGAATGACATGAACCCAGAAGGCGGAGGTTGCAGTGAACTGAGATCACGCCACTGCACTCCAGCCTGGGCGACAGAGCGAGACTCCGTCTCAAAAAAAAGAAAATTTTATAACAGCCTTGTGAGAGTGATGGGTAGATTGATTCTGTTAGATGAGAGGTATTTGGCATACTGCTTAAGAGGTCTTTTTTTTTCTGGCCTCAGACTTTCCTTTGAATTTTGGCTCAGTTCTACCTCTTGCTTTGCTTAGCAGTAGATTGCATTTCCTAGTCTGTGAAATGGGGCTGACAAGTGTCTTCTCATAGAGATGTGAAATAATATAAAGCTACAGTTCATAGCATAGTGTCTAGCATACAGTAAATAAACATTTCTTAAATGTTAGATATGTGTAATTTACATGTTGTGATTTTTTTTTTTTAATAAACCGTTTTTTCCCCTCCCCTAGGCTATGGTGAACTAAACGGTAATGCTGGAGAAAGAGAAATCTCTTTAAAGAACCTGAGTTCTGATGAAGCCACCAACCCTATTTCCAGGGTCCTCAATGGCAACCAGCAAGTTGTAGACACTAGCCTGAAGCAGACTGTAAAGGCCAACACCTTTGGGAAAGCAGGAATTAAAACCAAGAATTTCATTCAGAAAAACAGTATGGACAAAAAGAATGGGAAGTCTTATGAAAATAAATCTGGAGAGAACCAGTCTGTAGATAAGTCTGATACTATACCAATTCCAAATGGTGTGGTAACAAATAATTCTGGCTATATTACTAATGGTTATATGGGTAAAGGAGCAGATAATGATGGTAGTGGATCTGAGAGTGGATATACAACTCCTAAAAAAAGGAAAGCTAGGCGCAATAGTGCTAAGGGTTGTGAAAACCTTAATATAGTACAGGACAAAATAATGCAACAAGAGACCACTGTCCCAACCTTAAAACAGGGACTTGAAACTTTCAAGCCTGACTATAGTGAACAAAAGGGAAATCGAGTAGATGGTTCGAAGCCCATTTGGAAGTATGAAACTGGGCCTGGAGGAACAAGTCGAGGAAAACCTGCTGTGGGTGATATGCTTCGGAAAAGCTCAGATAGTAAACCTGGTGTGAGCAGCAAAAAGTTTGATGATCGGCCCAAAGGAAAGCATGCTTCAGCTGTTGCCTCCAAAGAGGACTCATGGACCCTATTTAAACCACCCCCAGTTTTTCCAGTGGACAATAGCAGTGCTAAAATAGTTCCTAAAATAAGTTATGCAAGCAAAGTTAAGGAAAACCTCAACAAAACTATACAGAACTCTTCTGTGTCACCAACTTCATCTTCATCATCATCATCATCTACTGGGGAAACTCAGACCCAATCATCAAGTCGCTTGTCCCAGGTCCCTATGTCAGCGCTGAAATCTGTTACTTCTGCCAACTTTTCTAATGGGCCTGTTTTAGCAGGAACTGATGCAAATGTTTATCCTCCAGGGGGTCAGCCACTGCTAACTACTGCTGCTAACACTCTAACACCCGTCTCTTCTGGGACAGATTCAGTTCTCCAGGACATGAGTCTAACTTCAGCAGCTGTTGAACAAATTAAGACTAGCCTTTTTATCTATCCTTCAAATATGCAAACTATGCTGTTGAGCACAGCACAAGTGGATCTGCCCTCTCAGACAGATCAGCAAAACCTGGGGGATATCTTCCAGAATCAGTGGGGTTTATCATTTATAAATGAGCCCAGTGCTGGCCCTGAGACTGTTATTGGGAAGTCATCAGAGCATAAAGTGATGGAGGTGACATTTCAAGGAGAATATCCTGCCACTTTGGTTTCACAGGGTGCTGAAATAATTCCCTCAGGAACTGAGCATCCTGTGTTTCCTAAGGCTTATGAGCTGGAGAAACGGACTAGTCCTCAAGTTCTGGGTAGCATTCTAAAATCTGGGACTACTAGTGAGAGTGGAGCCTTATCCTTGGAACCCAGTCATATAGGTGACCTGCAGAAAGCAGACACCAGTAGTCAAGGTGCTTTAGTGTTTCTCTCAAAGGACTACGAGATAGAAAATCAAAATCCTCTGGCCTCTCCTACGAACACTTTGTTAGGCTCTGCCAAAGAACAGAGATACCAGAGAGGCCTAGAAAGGAATGATAGCTGGGGTTCATTTGACCTGAGGGCTGCTATTGTATATCACACTAAAGGTAACTCATTTGTTTCCTATGCAAAGATTTTTATTGGCCAATTTAGTATATATTAAGAGAATTTTAAGAGAATTAGTTGTTCATATTAAGAGTATTTTAAGAGAATGACAATGTGGATAAGCAACTAATATCAAACTGATTCAGGGTCTTTGGAACTAGTATGATTAAAATTTAGAAGAAATGTTCACTTTTCCAACTTAAAATGGTTTTTAAAAATACAAACATAATTGACCTACCTGGTTCAAAGAAGTGAGGAGAACTTGCTTAAAGGTGTTGATGTTATATTTTCTCTTGACCGAGTGCTTAAAAAAAAATTTTATTGAACATATGTTCTCCTTCCTTTGCTTTTTTGTTTCTCCTTTGCTTTTTGTTTGTTTTTTCTTTGAGAGGGAGTCTCACTCTGTTGCCAGGCTGGAGTGCAGTGGTGTAATCCCGGCTCACTGCAACCTCCACCTCCCAGGTTCAAGCGATTCTCCTGCCTCAGCCTCCTGAGTCGCTGAGATTACAGGGACGTGCCACCACGCCTGGCTAGTTTTTGTATTTTTAGTAGAGATGGGGTTTCACCGTGTTGGCAGGATGGTCTCGATCTCTTGACCTTGTGATCCACCTGCCTTGGCCTCCCAAAGTGCTGGGATTACAGGTGTGAGCCACTGCGCCCAGCTTCTTGTTTGTTTTTGAGACGGAGTCTCTCTTGCCCAGGCTGGAGTGCAGTGGTGGGATCTTGGCTCACCGCAACCTCTGCCTCCTGGGTTCAAGTGATTTTCCTGCCTCAGCCTCCCGAGTAGCTGGGATTACAGCCATGTGCCACTCTGCGCAGCTTATTTTTGTATTTTTAGGAGAGACTGGTTTCACCATGGTGGCCAGGCTGGTCTCAAACTCCTGACCTCAGGTGATCCACCCACCTGGGTCTCCCAAAGTGCTGGGGTTACAGGTGTGAGCCACTGTGCTGGGCCTCATGTTAATAACTTTCTTAGAATGTGATATGTTTGTGTCTTAAAGAAAATTTTGCTGTATGGCATAACTGTAATCTAAATCTTTAGAGCAAATAATGAGGTTTAACGAATGATGTTTATATCCTTTTGCTTTTGAGAACAGTGGGTTTCAGTATTCCTGTAGTTTGCTATGTCTTCCTCCCTTCTCTAACAGAAATGCATACTCCATGCATGCATGTACACACTTAGTACATAGTGTATATTTCCATTTTAATAGTGGTTCATTTAGGCAGTGACTTGCAGGGAAGGGGGACCATACCAGATTGTGGGAATTAGGTCATTACCATATTCTCTCTGGAAGAAATATTGCCTGAGAGATGAATAACAAAGCAATTTATGTGACTTTTAAGCATATTTCCTAGTCTGCATACCTTTCCTTATCTGCAAGCTGGAAGACTTCAGTATAATAAATAGATGTCCTTTTAATATTATTTTACTTCCTTAAAAATGGTAGTAGTAGAATTGCTTAATGGAAGTTTAAGAGTAGGAATTCTCAAAGATAACATTTACCTGATTTCATTTGTTCTCCAGCTCTGCTCTTTGGAGGTAAATATAGGAGTTAGTTGTTTTTAGGAATATTAGGACAAAAAGAAATGCTTCATTTTTTAAGACATGTATTGTACATTAGTTAGCCTCTGCCAGGAGAGTTGGGTTTTTTGGTATTGCTTTCTGTGCCGTCTGCCCTCTAGAGACTGTCACTAGAAAATGTTTACCCAAGTATTTTGCACTGGTGATCATTGTGTGAGCCTGAGAGGATATCTGGTTGTGTTATGTTCTCTTACCATCTCCAAAAAAATTGTAGAAGGCCCAGTGTGCTGGATCATGCCTGTAATCCCGGCACTTTGGGAGGCTGAAGTGGGAGGATCACTTGAGCTCAGGAGTTTGAGGCCAGCCTGGGCAACAATGTGTAGTCCCAGCTACTTGGGAGGCTTAGGAGGGAGGATCACTTGTGCCTGGGAGATCCAGGTCTGCAGTGAGCTATGATTGCACCACTGCACTCGAGCCTGGGCAGCAGAGTGAGACCCTGTCTTTCAAAACAAAACAACAAAACGTGGGATATGCTCCCTTAGGTGACTGGTTAATAGTTTTATGTACAATTTCTATTATGTGGAATTGCAGGCCATTTTTAAATGGGAATGTTAACTTGCATCATTCTTTATACATTTTCCCTATCCATGGGCTGAGTATGAAATCAGTGGTATTTAGATAAGCTGAATACCCCTATATGGGTGCAGTTATATTTAGTTTTTCTGGTGTTAATGAAAAAATTTGCTTTAATAAAGTGTGTCATCTTGAGTTTTGTATTTGGACATGATTGGAAATTAATCAGATTGACATCAAAATTTTTACCCCTCTAGAACAATAAATAATATTCAGTTCAATTAGGTTCCAGAGTAGCAAGTTCTTTGAATTCCTGCCAAATGTTGATTAGTCCATGAGTGGTCCATTGGCCCACTCATTTTTCTTTACTTGAATTAGATTTGGAGATCTTTTGTAAGTGAAGGCTTTTTTTTTTTTTTTTTTAAGTTAAACTCTAGAAGAAGTCATAATCAGTTGGGCTACTGGAATATCCTTTAAGAACATCTGTATTATTTTCTTTGTGCTTTAGTGTAGTCTTCAAATGTTCAGTAGTAATCTCTAAGTGAGTTGAAGTTGGGCTTAGAATTGAAAGTTTTCTGCATTTCTCCTAACTTCAAAAATAAGCTGTTCAGCAACTTAATTGGAAATAGTGGGTAAGAGAGTACATTATGTCACTTCTTTGGGAATGGTGTGCTATTTATTTATATAAAGGAAGGTATTTTTATTTTATTTTATTTTTTTGTTGTTGTTGTTTGTTTGTTTTGAGACGGGGTCTTAGTCTGTTGCCCAGTCTGGAGTGCAGTGTTGCAATCTTGGCTCACTGCAACCTCTGCTGCCTAGGTTCAAGTGATTCTCCTGCCTCAGCCTCCTGAGTAGCTAGGATTACAGGTGCACACCACCATGCCTGGCTAATTTTGTATTTTTAGTAGAGATGGGGTTTTACCATGTTGGTCAGGCTGGTCTCCTGACCTCGTGGATCCACCTGCCTTGGCCTCCCAAAGTGCTGGGATTACAGGTGTGAGCCACTGCACCCAACAAAGAAAGGTGTTTATTTGACTCAAGGTTTTGGCAGCTGGGAAGTCCAAGTGCATGGTGGCGGCTTCTGGCAAGGACCTTTTTTTTTTTTTTTTTTTTTGAGACGGAGTCTTGCTCTGTCGCCCAGGCTGGAGTACAGTGGCCCACTCTCGGCTCACTGCAAGCTACGCCTCCCGGGTTCTCGCCATTCTCCTGCCTCAGCCTCCCGAGTAGCTGGGACTACAGGCGCCCGCCACCGTGCCCAGCTAATTTTTTGTATTTTTATTAGAGACGGGGTTTCACCGTGGTCTCGATCTCCTGACCTTGTGATCCACCCGCCTCGGCCTCCCAAAGTGCTGGGATTACAGGTGTGAGCCACCGCGCCCGGCTAGGGCTTTTTTTTTTTTTTTTATACAGGAACTTTTTAGATTAAGTATAAGTGTAGTATGGATTTTTTAAAATGTGAGTGTTAAGTACAGTTGAGGGTATGAAGTAAAGATACAATAGAGCATAAAAGGGATTTGTGTGGATTCTGATTCTTGGGATTTTCCTTTTAGCTTTTTTTTTTTTTTTTTTAATTAAAGAGACAGGATCTCATTGTCACCCAGGCTGGAGTGCAATGGCACTATCATAGCTCACTGTAGCCTTGAACTCCTGGGCTCAGGTGATCCTCCTGCCTCAGCCTCCTGAATAGCTGGGACAGCAGGTGTGCACCGCAATGCCTCGCTAATTTTTTTATTTTTATTTTTTGAGATGAAGTCTCGCACTGTTGCCCTGGCTGGAGTGCAGTGGCGTGATCTCAGCTCACTGCAACCTCTGCCTCACAGGTTCAAGAGATTTCTCCTGCCTCAGCCTCCCTAGTAGCTGAAATTACAGGCATGAACCACTGTGCCCGGCCGCCCAGCTAAGTTTTGTGTGTGTATATATGTATATAGTGATGGTGTCTCTGTATTTTATCTAGGCTGGTCTTGAACTCTTGGCCACAAGGGATCCTCCTGCCTCAGCCTCCCAAAGTGCTAGAATTATAGGTGTAGGCCACCATGCCTGTCCTAACTTTTTTTTTTTTTTAGACGGAGCCTCACTCTGTCACCCAGGATGGAGTGCAATGGTGCGATTTTGGCTTGCTGCAACCTCTGCCTCCTGGGTTCAAGTGATCCTGCCTCAGCCTCCCAAGTAATGCGGATTACAGGCGTGTACCACCATGCCTGGCTAATTTTTTGTATTTTTAGTAGAGATGGGGTTTCGCCATGTTGGCCAGACTGGTCTTGAACTCTTGACTTCAGATGATCCGTCTACCTTCACCTCTGAAAGTGCTGGGATTACAGGCATGAGCCACTGTGTCCGGCCTAATTTTTGTATTTTTAGTAGAAATGGGGTTTCACCATGTTGGCCAGACTTGTCACAAACACCTGACCTCAAGTAATCTGCCTGCCTCGGCCTCCCAAAGTGCTGGGATTATAGGCATAAGCCACCACACCTGGCTCCAATGGCTTTTTTAAGAGACAGCGTCTCACCCCATGACTCAGGCTGGAATGCAGTGGTACGATCCTAGCTCACTGCACCTTTGAACTCCCGGGCTTAAGGGATCCTCCCTCCTCAGCCTCCTGTGTGTGTAGCTGGGACCATAGGTTCATGCCACCACCCATGTTGTCTGGGCTGGTCTGAAATTCCTGCCCTCAAGTGATCCTTCTGCTTCAGCCTCCTTAAGTATTGGGATTACAGGCATGAGCTACCATGTCTAGTTTGTGATGGCTGTTAGTGTATGTACCTGAGACATATAACTGCCCTCTTAAAAGTTGTTATCTCAGTCATTTGAAGCCAAGTCTTTTGAAATAATAATTGATATGAGTTGTGTGGTCAGAGTGCCAATTTGAACTGGGTTGATCTGTCTTACATGGCTGTTACGGCACTGAA